ATAGGTACACACAAACCCGTTACCATGGTCCACAATGGTGGAGAAAGTGGCTCGGAGGAAGCGTCTCAGTCCATAAAGTCCGATCGCGGGGGTCCTTTTCGGGTGGAGCGGGGTCGTCCGTGGGGGAAGGATCCTGTCGGGGGGGGCGGTTCAGGCGGCAGCGTCCTCCGGGTCCGGTCCGGCGGCGGCTCGTCTGGCGGGGTCGGTGTACTGGCAGTGGCCCGTGATGTGCTCCACATAGATGTCGCGGGACCAGCAGATGGTGTCGGACACCATGAGGTAGCGCATCAGCTTGGCGTAGCGGCAGGAGACGCGGCAGGCACGGAGGACGCTCTCGTTGCTGGGGTCCCAGGCTCCGAGTGTCCCCACGATGAGCGCGTCCACTGTCACGTCGTAGCTGCGGCCCCTCACGTGTCGGCCAGCGGGGCGTACTTCTCCCGCTTCTGAGCCCGGGCATCGGTGAAGGCTTGGCGCCGGTTCTCGAAGGGGATGGTGACGTCCACTATCACAATCTTCTCGGCCTCCTGGTCGGTACTACACTTGATCTGATCCTTCAAGAGGCCGAGAAGCGATGCAAAGTAGCCATCACACAATAAAAAGCTCCAACCAGCTATAAAGTTAGATCTCAAAAATGTGTACTAACTTTATAGCTGGTTGCTTTCACGCTTTATTTTACATGTGTAGCAGGGTCTCCCCTGTGGCTGGGAGCCCCATCAGCTGACAGGGCTCCCAACCCGCAGGGGAGCATTAAACCCCCAAGCCCTGGGAACTGTGGCTGTCATGATCCCCAAGGCTTGGGGGGACCATGAAACCCCTGGCCCACATGGTGCTCTTGGCCCAGGACACATTTGGGACCAGAAGCTCTGTCAGTTGTGGGGTCTCTGTCCTGGGTGATGCTGAGGTGCAGCCAGGACCAGGAGCCCCATCAGTTGTGGGATCTCTTGGATCTGGCTGTGTGTGGCCCCTGCAGCTGGGAGCCCCAGGATGAAACCCCTAAGCCTTCAGGATCACAGCTGCCATGATCCCCAGGGCTCAGGGGGGCATAAAACTGCCAGCCCACATGAGGCTCTCAGCCCTGGCTGCGCCTCACAGCCATGACTAAGAGACCCCACAAATGGCGGGGTGCTCAGCCACAGCTACTCCTCACACAGTTTTAGCGTCCCTCAGTTCCAGCTGCATGTGAGGTGTAGCTAGGGCCAAGAGCCCTGTCAGTTGCAGGGCTTTCAGCGTGGCATGACAGGCACAACTGTATGGATCGTGCAGTAGATCCAATCACACCCTTACCTGCACATGTGGAGGGGGCCTGGGACACTGAAAATAGATTAAGCACCTCAAGCTTTTAGTTTCTGTAGCTACTGTGTAAATGCTCTTGTGTGGGGGAGCAGAGACATCTAGTGGATTGCTGATCTGCAGTTTATATTTCTTAATCCAATAGTTTCTTAATGGAAAGCAGGGGAAAAAAGGTTTCTGAGATTAGATTTTTGTGTCAAGAATTTACTGATTTCAGAGCTAATATCTTCATATGAAACAATTATAGGACATGCAACTTAGACTTAACTTTGAAGTTGGAAATGCTAAATGCTTACGTATGCAGTTTGCAGTGGTCAGAAAAGTTCTTATCCATTCCTGCTGTAATGTACCAGTATTCTGCTCTTCTGCCCACAATAGTATTTTTAAATACTTATTTCTAGTGCAGTTCCAGTCCTGTGGAAAGACCTGCTGTGAGTGTTTTTACTACCATATCATTTACATGTGGGCTAGGCAGGATCCAGCCCTGGGAGGCTTTAAAACTAATATGCAGATTAGAATGCATATGGGATGTTCTTGTGAAAGCCACTGAAAAAAAATGGTAAAACATTTAAACAATAAAATATTTTTCACATTGAAGCAATTATCCATGTAAATTCTCCTGGTGCTATGCATCAGAATTAGATTCTTTAAGTCAGATGTTTGTGACTGTTGGCTGCATCCCAAATGCTATTGTGCTTCTCACCAAAGGCTCTAGGGAGCAGAGAAGGCCCAGTTGTCCCTTGGGTCCTTCTTATGACCTGTAGCAGTGGGGTGAACTTCTTCCATATCAATTTATACCTATGGTGTAGACTTTGTTTCCTGTTGTGCATTAACAAATAAGATCTGTAAGTGTGTTACTTTGATTTTACCCTTACATACACATATATAACCAGTATAGCATTCCTAGAATGACAGAAGCCAAGTCACAGAGGAGCAAATCTAAGATTGGTTGTTCGTAAACCTCTTTATTGGTGGCCAGTACCACTTCATTGTCCATTAAAGGACCTGTACCAGACAAGTGCCTGTCTGTGACTCCACAAGTGTTCTTGGAGAGTGAGAAAGAGGAAAAAATGTAGCTTCCTATGCAAGTCAGTCAAGCTTCCTCAAGCTCCAGAAAAGTGTGGTATCGTGTCATTTGATCTTGACCAGTGCCCTGCTGGAGCTTTGATTTCAAATATCTTAGTATATATCCATCCTGAGGCTGCTTTTGGACAGAGATCCTCAACCCGGATTGCTTCTGGTAATCCCAGTATCTTTCATGTTGATACTTCCATGTTGAGTCCATGTTGATACTAACTGCATGTTACCCATTAGTTGCATATAAGCCATCACGACACCAGAACTTTTCTAATACCTTCTATTTGGCAAATTAGGAGAGGCAATTGCCAAACCACTGCAGTTGCTGGAGATATGTACTCTTCTCTGGTATACAAAGGCTACAGCTGAGAGGATTATATCTCCTTTAGATAGTTATGCCTTTTCTTCCTCTCGTGGTAAGCTTGGCAGAGAACTGTCTCCCAAATATCCAACATCCCCACTCTGTGTACCTCATTGGAAGCCAAGGACAGATTCTTAAAAGGGATCCATGAGGGGTAGTAAAAAGAGATCTCAGCTTCATAAAGACTAAATTTTCAAATCCTCTGCCACACTACTTACACGTTTTACTAGCTATGGTCTTGATAGATGCAATGGGAGATACCACCTTATTTCAGGGGCCTGCTCTGTCTACTGTTTCTAAGGCTAGATTGTTCCTAAAAGAGACAGAGGAAGCCACCTCACGTGAGCCACCTGGTTTTGCCTACAAGTACGTAGGAGGAGAAGGACGGGGGAAAACGTGCATTAGGAAAAGAATATTCAATCCTTACTGTAATTACTGCATCCTCTCTTAACAAAGCTGAGATTCTGCCCACCATGGCCTCAAATGTGATTAAAGTTTCACCAGATCTGATAAAATAAATGGTGAGAACTTTACGTGCATCTCTTGAAGGTGAACAGAAAAATACAAGTTTTTACATATATTGCATCCTTTCATAACAAGGAACCTGGCTGTGACCATTAAGATTACCGCAGCCTGCAAAAACCACATGGCATATACATAAGACTCTTGGCCACACTAGAAAGAACTGATTGGAGACATGAGCTTCTTGTGCTGTGGATTCCTCCTAGGGAGCACTTGCTTGGGAGTCCCATCCTTGCATGGTCTCCTTAAAGCCAGTCCAAGCAGGGCTTCAACAGTAGGGGGAGCCCTGGATCCTTCCAACTCTGAGGCCCCAGCCATGTAGTACCTGACCCTCCCTGATAACTTTGCTGCCACTACAGTTCTAGAGCGGTTTGGCCTCTTGGGCACCTATACTCATGCCAGACTAATTGCTCCAGCAGCCTCCATGTCACATCTATCAAGTGTTCCTGCACTTCAGGGTGGTGGTGCGGATGCTTGAACTAAAGCTTATCGAATCAGCTTTAGCTCAAGCACTCATGCTGCAATTTTGAAGTGGGGGATACTGAATACATGTGATGCTGTGGGCACTTTAATTAGAGCAACTCTTGGAGCCGCTCTAATTAAAGCACCCCCCTCCACCCCGGAGCACATGTGTAGATGCCCCTTATGTCCATGGCCAACACTAAAGGAATGGAGGCTAGCTCCTCACATAAGAAAAGTGACAGCCTTCATGTGGCATTTATGGACCCACTGTTGGCCATTCCAAGTCTGCATGACAGTGTGTTCTCCACCACCCTGATCTGGTCCAGAACTACCATTAAAGAAAAAATCATTCAGATATCTGTCTCAGATCTCTAGACGTTGTGACTTCTGCTTATAAGAGTTAAGGAACAAACAACTCTTAAAGTATTTTCAGTTGTACAAATAGATATTGAGTTAGCCAAGCTAAGCTCCTTCTGTTAGAGCTAAAAGAGCTTTGGCCACTTTTTGATGACTATTCCTACCTGAAATTAGTAACATTTTGTCAATACCTAGCTGAAGGCAGGATCTAAAAGCTGTTATTAGCATATTGAGTCATCAATCTACTTGATACATTCCTGATACAGAAGGTACCAGAATTTGTGTCATGCTGGCATAAAGAAATGACTCCAAAATATACACTTTTACCCAGTGCTTTAATCTGAACCGTTACATACTCTAAGTTTTTGTTACAGACTTATTCAATCCAAATGTAGAGCCATTTTGTGTGTATAGCATACAGTGAACCTACACTATCATATGAGGTTTATCCAGTATTGTACAGTTTAATAGTACTAATATTAGTGTTTGTCCACCCACCAAATTTAAGGGAGTAGTTGAAGAAGAAATACTGTTATAAGAAATCTTTTTATATAAAAGACCTGTGACTAATGAAACATGAATATACTGAGAAAGAAATGCTTTAGCAAAATGTAATACAAACAAAACCCGGCCTTAAGTAACAAGTTTTAATAATGTAACTTCTATTTTCAGGTTGCTGAACTGAAGATGGAGTTGAAGTTAAGGGGATTACCTGTATCTGGAACTAAAACAGATCTTATAGAGCGTCTGAAACCTTATCAAGATCTTAACAACAATGGAGTCACTACTAGTAACACTACTACAACAGCAACTTCTGCTGGGGAGGTGACAGTGGGATTCCCCATTTCAACACTAAATAAAGCAGTTGTTAGTTCTATGTCCAGCTTTCCTACAGAAAAAACATCTACTGCAATGGGCTGCAAAGCAGCACATACTGAAAGCACTAGCTCCCCTTTGCCCATATCCCCATCTCCTTCAGAGCAATCCAATCTAAGCACAGATGATACTAATATGACAGATAGTTTTACAGAAATGATGACCATGATGTCACCATCCCAGTTCTTAAATACCTCACCTCTAAGAGTCACTACGAATGAAGACAGTGCAAGTCATGCCAGTGGAAGCATGTCAAGCATGGAGTTTGATGCAGCAGAAAAGGACCGCAAGCTTCAAGAAAAAGAGAAGCAGATTGAAGAGCTCAAAAGAAAACTGGAACAGGAGCAGAAACTTGTGGAAGAACTAAAAATGCAACTTGAGGTTGAGAAACGGGGGCAGCAGCAGGCCCAATCGTCTAGTAACTCTGTAACTGCTTTGGATCAGAAACAATGCAGTGCTGCTGTCAAAGATGAAAATGCTCTCCCTGACTGCTCTAATGGAAATCAGTCAGCATCTATAGCCAACCATTCTTTAGGACAGCCAATGTCTACTAGTAGTCAGAGCCTAGTTGCCAAAAAGGCTGTTATCATCAAGCAAGAGGTGCCTGTTGCCAAAGCTGAACCACAGAATGTCATCTCTCAATTTTATGTGAGTTCTCAGCAACAGCCACAAACTGCAGTTGTTGCCCAGCCTCAAGCTTTACTGACTACTCAAGGAACAGCACAGCTGCTACTTCCATTGTCTATCCAGGGACCGAATTCTTCAACTCCAGTACAGCTCCCAGTAGGAAATATAAAGCTACAGGTATGATGTTTCTTGAACTTAAATCATTCAGTATCTTTGACAGTAGTAAGCAAAATTAGCATGTATGTGTGCTCGTGCTTGCTCTCTCATTCTCTCTCTCATTTTTTCATATACAATAGAAGTGTACTGTTTATAAGACCTGTGTAAAATTACTGACTTGGGTCATCGGTGCATTAGGCAAAAAAAAGTCACTTTCTGGTCTTTAATCTTTTTCTAGTTTCTTTTCTGGTCCTTGGATTCTTGTTAGAAAATCTTTTTTGAGCACTCTAGCAAAAATATTCAAATAAGGCTTAGAAAAATGTCCTGACACACACCTATCCAAATGTAGAGCATCTGCAGTTAGCTATACTTCCTATGCACAGCTTTAATTTATAGTGTCACATCCTTGTCCTATCTGACCCATCACCATACAACTAATGTGTTATTCCTTCATTTATTTAAAAAAAAGGTGGGGAGGAATTATGATATCCCCTTAAAGCAAAATCCACTTGTCTTCCAATTAACCAGTGTTGGCTCTCTTTAGCCCAAGTTAAATGACTTCTGTGTTCAAGCACTATATGCCCCCCATAATTGTTCAGTTCTGCAGCCCTCCATATATGGCTCTTGCCTGCCAGCTAATATTTTTGGGAAGCAAAGGGTGCCTCCCTCTTTGTAAGGACCCTTGACTGCACAGAAGTATGGCTCTTTTCTACTTGGGCCACTCTTCTCATGTTCCCTTGCCCTCAGGAAAAGCAGTAAATCCAGTACCCTATCTGTACTGTTACACACTATTGGTACCGTTACTGCTTCCCTCTGGCAACCCTCAGCCTCACTTACTTGAGAAGAGTTTCTGCTTGCTGTAAGTGAATAGCCAACAGAATTTTAAAGCCCTGTCCTAGAAGTAATGTCCAACTTACACATGGGATCATATGAATATATCACTTCCTGCAGTATGGAGTAGTTGAGTCATTCTGATGCACATTATGTAGTAGTGAATTCACTGACGTTTGCCAGGATACAACAAGCTTATAGACTAGGAAGAGGAAAGTTGATGAATTCCTAAATACCGTACTTACACAATTATACATTCAAAGCTGTGCAGTAATTAAATGGTTTATGAAGGAAACCCATGAAAATTGGAATAGGGAATAAAAAAGTCAAGCCTCAGCATAGAAAAGTTGTTTACATGTCATTTTGGCATTGCGTGTGTAATATACTATTATACATTAAAGTTTGAGCAGCAAGAGAAACACACAAGAAGCAGGTGTATGGAGAGGGGATTTCAACTAGGTATTGTGTATGTTTCATTTGCTGTTTAAGCAAGGTTTGGTGAAGAGACTGCATACACATATGCCCTGTTCACACTCTTCTGGAGTAGAGTATGCATCCCCCAAGCCCAGCAATTTATTTTGAGATATACCCACCTTTAAAATGTATACAGAGACTCATTTTTAAATGCTCAAACAAGAAACTGTAGAGCTCCTGTGGAATTGGAAGTGAGACAGTGGTTGATCAGTAAATGTGATTTCCCAACTGATTTTGTGTTAATAATACCAAGAATAATTGTTTATCTGATAATTACACAATCAGAAATATAGAGCTAGGAGGGAACTCAGTCAGCTTGTCTAATCCTCTGTGTTGAGGCAGGACCAAGTATTCCTAAACTAAGTCTGACTGATATATTTCTAACTTGTTGTTAGAAACCTCCAGTGAAGTAATTTACTGCAGTGTTTCATTGCTCTGTAACAGTTCAGGTTTCCACACTTTCACCTCCCCACCACCCTGCCCCAATATCCAGCCTAAATCATCTTTCCTGACAATTGAGCTTATGTCCCTCTTGCCCTTTTCAAGTGGCCATGTAGAACACTAATTCTCTTTACAAAAAGTCTTTTACATACTGAAAAAGTTATGTTGCCCCCTCGGTCTTCTCTTCTGTAGTTAAACAATCCAGTTCCTTCAACCTTTCCCTCTAGGTAACCTCTCTCTCAACTGGTGGCCCACAGGCTGCATGCAGCTCACAGGGCTTCTCAGAACCCACCAAGTGAATGTCACTGCTGCTTGCCCCCTCCCACCTCCTTGCATGCCACCAGAGTCTTTAGTTGCCTTTGAGGACTAAAATCAACACCAGTGGAAAACAGGGAGCAAGCCTAGGCCTTTGCTTCTCCACTAGAGGTGGGTCGCCCACCTGCAAGAAGTCCTGCATACTGGATCTGATCCATGGGGGCAGGTGAGTTGACCCCCTTGCTCCAGGTCATGTTTTCTAAACCTGGAATCTCTTCAGTTTGTCTGCTTCCTTCCTACAGTATGGTGCCCAAAACTGGATATTCCCAAGTGAAGCCTCAGCAGCACCTAATTGAGCGAAATAATTACTTCCTGTGTCTTGTGTAAAAATTCCTGTTAATATCATTCTGGGGTGATATCTGCTGTATCTGTATTGCAGAATCTATACTGAAGTATATTATAGAAATTTTTTTCTGTAACACATGACTTTATTTTCATTATTCAGGCTCAATCACAAGCAAGAATTCAGGTGCCATCACAAATAACTGCTCCTGTTTCATCCACTGGTCTGGCCCAGACAGCCCCACAAATACATACTTCGCAATCTAAACAGAATTCTGTCACACAGCATGTGCTCAGTCAAGTCCAGCAAATCAGAAAGGTTTGTGAAAAGCAGTGAGATGTGTTGAAATAGGGTATGCTGTAATTTATGTTACTTCATAGAATCTCTACCATGCCATGCATGGTAACCTGTGTGCACCGTTAACAAATATTACCCTTTTAAATGAGATGCTATAGTTTAACAGAAAGGATGTTCTTCCTGGTTGTGCTAGAGGTAAGTCACTTAAGGCGTCTTTACACATGCTCCGGGGCTGAGGAGAAGGACACTTTAATTAGAGTGGCTCCAAGAGCCACAGCACCTTGTGTATTCAGTGTCCCACACTTAAATGGTGGCGGGGGTGCTTTGACTAAAGCTCATTTGATGAGTTTTAGTTAGTGTCCCTGCCACCGTTTTGAAGTGCAGGGATGCTGAATACATGAGACATGGAGGCTGCTGGAGCGCGCTAATTAATCACATGACTGATTAATCAAGTCTGCTCCAATGTGCTGTAATTACAGCACTCTGGAGCACCATCCCCACATGTCTACAGGTACCTTTAATGTCTCTGTACTGCAGCTTCTTCATATGACAAAATGGGACTAATACTTACTTTACTAAAAGGGTTCAAGATCAAATGAATGAAAAGTGTTATATTACTGCTAGCTGTTTCATATATGATAGCAGATATATTTAATGAAGGGGGAAGTGTCATTCCCAGGTTTTCATTTCTTAGGATTTTTCTGAAATAAGGACTTCATCTTAAAAGTACAGAGACTAACTTTCTGGCTTTATGTAGTTCGACAATCCAGATTTACAAAGGGGAAGTCTAGATCCCTCTTCCCTTTTTCCTTGAAAGTGCATCATGAATGGCTGAGTTACACTGAAGCTTTCTCTTAGGCCCAATTTAGAATTGAGGACATAAATTCATGCACCATATTTTATTTTGTTGTCCACAAGGTGGAGATATTATGCATGTTTAAAATGCTTTGTCTTCAGAAGAACATAATTCTATTCTTGTGTGTCAGACAGGATATTCTTCTCAGAAAGTCTGATGGCTCATGTGCTCCCCTAAAAAGGGTACCCACAGGTTTTTAGGCTATGTCTCTAGCATATAATTGACAAAAGTCATTTGTCAGACTGAAGCAGTTTTATAAATTTAAGGTGGAAAAGCTCAATGTCACACAGTAAGATTTGTCTCTCCAGGAGTAGGTATATACTGAAAATTACTATAGACCTAAGGACTACAGTAATTTTCTCCCTTGATGGAAGTTAAATGGAGAGAGGCTAAAAAAGGGAGAAGAAAATGGGACAGTAAGATTTAATGCCATTTAACCAGCTTAATGTAAAATTAGATGGGCTATTGACAGAATATCAATTCTTACAGGTTTTTACACCTACTACATCCAATACAGTATTTTCCTATCAAAATCCACCTGTTACAACGCTATCACAACCTTTTATCAATAAGGGGAATACTGCTCTTCACACTGGGAACAATCAGGTTCCTTCTGTTCAAAATGGACCCACTGTTCATAATAAGGTAAGTCTAATTCACTTGTGCTTGTCAGATCCCACTTTCATTTTAATTCAAAATATTCATTATTATATTACAATCATTGTATATCACTCTAAGATGAGGGGAAAGTATTTTGCATGTCAATAGGTATTATATTTTACAACTAGATGATAGTGTATCTGCTGGTGATTAATAGTTAATAAGATTGGATAAATGTAAGACTGGTACCTCTAGTAAATTGAATGTCACAGATTTAATTTGTATGTTATATTGCTATTTCATACAGCCTGGCTCACCATCTCAACCCCAACCGTACATCGTACAACACACTCTGTTCAACAGGCCAGTAACCAAGACAAAAGACCCTCCACGTTACGAAGAGGCCATAAAACAGACCCGCAACATGCAAGCATCTCATCGAGAGGTAGTTTTCTCTTAGTTGCCTGATAGGTAGCTGTGTTTTTTCCACAGAATTAAAGTTGTTTATCACAGTGTTATAATTACTTGGTCTCTTGGTGCCAGGATTTCTCTGTATGCATTCAACTGCTACTAACAGTTTGATAACTCATAATCCTAACTTTGAAAGCTCTCTTTTTTCTGTTAAACTGATTTTATTCTTTATGTAAGGTTATTGCCACTCAGAAAAAAGTTGGCTGTTTACCAGTATTAATAATAGTTTGAAATTTAAGAACCTCAGTCATTTCTTAAATGATGCCTAGATCTGACAATTCTAATATAAAAGCCTAAGTCTGTCTGTCTAATGTTTTATTCATACTCTGATTGACTGATGGAAACAGCCAATCAGAGTGCTCCAAGCACGGGGGGCACCACCATGATTCCAAACCTGCACTGAGGACCAGAGGGTGGGCGCTGCTGGCTTCGGCTCCTCCAACTGCTCCCTGCAAGAGGCAGAACAGTGGCAACATGGGGCATTAGGTGGCAGCACTCCATCCCTGCCCTCTCTCCTCCCCACCCCACCCCCCATCATTCTTGACAGGCAATTGGCTAGTCTAGTAATAAAATCCATTAAGTGACATGGCATGGCTTCAACTCCTCAGAGTCCAGATGCTTAAATCTGACCCTTAATAAACTGAAAATAACTAATCTTCAAGGAAGTCTAAGACATACGTTTCCATCTCTTTGTACTTCCAAGGTTATATAGTAGAAATACTGGAAACTGGGCCTTCAGATACTACCAGAACATGAGTCATGTTGACAGTGAGAAAAAGCCAAGGCAAGATGTTGTGGAACTTTCTGTTTTTCCTGTGTTTCATAGTAACTTTTGAACAAAAACCAAATGTTGATCCTTGCCTTTCAGGATTTTTATGACAATTGTTTCCAATTGCTTTATGCATCCCACCTCAATGGCCAGAATATAAGTGTTTAGCAACCTAAATCTCATTGTGTTTCTATTTGTGTCCCAAGTTTGGATCCTGTTAAGGACCATAGAAGAAAAGAGAAATAAAAGATTTAAACTACAAAATAAATTGAGCTAGTTCTAAAACTTTTTTTAAAAAAAAGGTCCTAATTCAGGCTTATGCTAACGCAATACTTTTAGGCTTCTTGAGGTAGTTATCTGGCAACATGTTCCCTACTGGGTACTCACCAGATTGCTCTCAGGGACCCAACTGCTGCATTCCTAGGAGTGTTACGACTTGAGTCTAAACAAGTCTGGAAACTGCCCATCATTCTTGAGTCTCTAAGCACATACTTAGGGTGCAGATTTAGGCTCTTTTCAGTTAATCTGAGCGAATTCTCCCAGGTTTGTTCTTCTAGGAGAAAAACTTACCTAGGAACATCTGCACAGACATTCAAATGCTGAGCCTTTGAAGACTAAAGAGTTTGTAGTGCTGATACTGCAAAGCCCGGTGGCCCCTGTGCACACATCTCAGCATGCTCTGCAGGCTCCTTCAGCCTGCCCAGAGACAGAACAGCAGTGGTGCACAAGGCAGTCCCAACTGGCTGACCGAGATTGCCTGCGTCTCCATGCAGGGACAGAGAATTGTGGTGGGGGTTCCATCCCCTGCTTGGTGGAAGCAGCGGAGTCCAGCAAGTGATGCACTGTCTTAGGACTGAGGAGGGGAGGGAGGAGCAAAGCACCCTGGGATGCTGGAGAATTGTGCTGTGGGTTCTGTCAGAAGACAACATGTACAGATGTTCATTTTCCCAAGAGAAACTCTCCTGGGAGCAATTTAACCTTGGTTGTTCCCCAGTTGTTTTTCTACTCAAGCAGCTCTCTGGGTGAAAAATCCTGAGCATCTGTACATTTGTGGTTTCTCCTGGGGGAGAAGTAACTCTCCCAGGAGAAACAATGTATATACATGGACTCAGTATTTCAGATTTTCTCCTGAAAGGTGGAAACTGATAGTCCAGCAGCCTATCTTGCAGTCTAGTTCTGACTCTTCAGACTCCCACTGCAGCTTAAATGTGCCCTTTTTTAAAATTTCATCTAAAGTATTAGCATTAGAGTTTACAGTTTCTCTCTTTGGGTGTCATATAAGAGATGTGGGCATAACAGATCAAATTTGCAACTCTGCAAAGCTTACCATTAATTTTACTTGAAGAATAAAGCTTGGTTACAGATTTAGGGCTGTGTGAAGCTTCAGTAGCTGATTCAGTTCGGAGGAGATTTGGCCTGATTCGGGGGCTGAATCTCCAAATCTGAATTGAAACAGGAGACCCGTTGAAAGGTCCGAATCTAATTGGAAGCCTCCGATTGATTCAGAGATTCGGGTGGCCCCTGCTCGCCGCCGCAGGGAGCTGGACCCGGGCTCCATGCTGGTAAGTAGGGGGAGGGGGAGGGGACCATGGGGGGAACCACACCTGGCCCCATCCCCCACCAGTTCCCCGAGTGCCCCCAGCCTCCCCGCCATGGGTGCTCCACCCAGCCCCATTATCCCAGCACTTAAAAAGGCCCACACTCAGCAGCTGCTGAAGCCGCAATCAGGGGCTCATGGCAGAGCCCTCCTGCACAGTGTGGGGCAGTGGGAATGCCCCCCACACCTGGCACCCACGCGACAGCTGTTGCATTGTGTGGGTGCAGCGCGGCTCAGCAGGGCACCGCGCACTGTCCTCGAGCTGGGGTGTGGCTCCAGCAGTCACCCAGACCCAAGCAGCCCCCAGCCCAAGTAACCCCAGCTCCCGGACTGCGCGTGGAGCCCCACGGCACCCTGCTGAGCTGTGCTGCACCTGCGTGATGCAACAGCTGCTTTGCAGGTGCCAGGCAGAGAGGACCAATCCCCACTGCCTTGCACTGCATGGGGGGGGCTCTGCCACAAGCCTCCAGAGGCTCCGATTGCCAGTGAGTGCGGGACTTTTTAAGTGCCGGGATGCTGGGGCTGGGAGGGGCAGACATGGGGGGCTGGGTGAGCGGGCAGGTGGTGGGACCCCTCTCCCTGCCACCATGCCCCCGCCGCCAGCATTGCTGCTGGCACTTGTTTGATTTAGAGATTTGGCCTGATTCGGCGGTCAAATCTCTGAATCCAAATCAGCCAAATTTAACTGGGACAGTGATTCGAATCAGCAAATCAAATCGCTGTCCCTCTGAATCAGCCAAGTCTGAAGCCGAATCGAGTAGTTGCTGCTTCACACAGGCCTGCAGATTATTAGAAGAAACAACTTCCTAAATGCAGTTTTACAGCCACACCAGCCTCCCCTACTACAGAAGCCAGTTTAACCACCCCTTCTGTCCCCACTCCTGTCCAAAGCTTCCTTTGTCTCTCCCAGTCTTCCCCTGTAAGAAATGCCTTGTTGGTAGTTTTTGACTTTGTCTATTTTCTACCCTCCTGTCACACAAGTGGAGGAAGTATGATCCCTACTGCAGCCAAAATTGGATATATGAGGGAGCTATCTGGTGACACAGCAATTTATATTGTGATAAACTTCATACCCACCAAATTAGGCTCTGTGGCTAGGATTCCTCAAATGAATCAAATCCAGTCCCATCCTGTCTCAAGCAGCCACATTGTATATAACCTCGTTCATAACTTCAACTCAGTTCATTTTAAAGCTTTTTAGGCTGCTTGGCCCCTTTCTGCTACTGGAAAGTAGTTCCACTGTCATTGTTTTGATCAGCATTTCGATTTCTTGGCTAAATTTATTCAAGGTCAGCTTACATCAATCTGTTTTTTGCCATCATTGTACTTCAAGTTAAATTCCATATTCCTTTGAATGCAAAATACCTTCAAATTTAACATACATCTAAGTTTTTTTGGATTGTTTTTCTATAATTGGAGAAAGCAAATATCGTATTTTTTTTAAAGAAAGAGGAAAACAATACCCTGCTTTTTGCTATGAAATACTACAAATATAACAGTACAAATCTCTCCTAGTCATCCTCTCTCGCTTTACATCTCCCAGACTATATTTTCTGTTCTATCATGCTAGTTTGAGAGAGAACCTTTTTAGAAGGAGTGCATCAATTTGATTTATAGTGTCCCATGCTTTAATAATCCATTCACAGAGAAGAGGAAATGCAGAGTATCTTCATCCAGTTAAGGTCAGCTGTTTCTTCACTCACAAACCGTTTAGTGATAACGATTTGTCAGTTTTATATTTAAAGTAGCTAGTTCACTTAGATGTTAAATGGCTTAAGTTATGACATTAGCCCACCTGGCATGATAACCAGGTCAGTTTTCTGGTCACAGCTGTCGTCTTAACTGCATCGGTTTTGTGCGCTTCATAAGCATCCATCACAAGCATTTGATTTGGTTTAATAGGGCACCAGGTCACCAAAATCATGCTTTCTGCAGACAATTCAGTATAAGCTCCTCAGCTATTCATTTTCTTACCTGCACTTAAACAAATATGATTTTGGGGAAATGTCCCTTGACAGGCCTTTATGCTTAGAAGCTGTATATGGAGGCAGTATACAGCCATCTGCTGTCACACAGAGAATTAGAGATATCTGCTGCTTCTCCTTTCCTGTCATGATGATCACTTGCACCTGTTTTTCTCCATGTTTTGGGAACTGTGATATTGCTTGGCATGCCAAAAAGCACAGCATCCACATTTCATATCTATCCAAGTTGATACTCTTAGAAGAGAACATAGCAATAAAGAGCTGAAGTTTTAAAAGCCTTGCTACAAAATCCTAAGAGAGCTTCTGCCACACGAGTCCACCTACAAACTGAAAAGCCTTACTGCTTCAGAATTTTTTACCAAATCCAAACCGGCAATTTGTGAATGTAGTACACCAGTTGTATGTAATGCAAATAAATCCTCATACACTTTGGCACAAATCACTTTTCAGCTCATGGGAAAGCAGAATTTCAGTGTTCAACTAGGAAATTGTTGGCACTCTTCCTGATTTCTTGCATTTGGGAAGTTTTGATTTTAAGTGTCTCCATTTCCCAACACACACTTCATTATCTCTACACTTCCTTGTTGCTGATCTGTTTTCATTTGTTTCTGTAAATTCCAGTTTTTAGTTTAAAAGAAGCTGTAGATTCATACTAATGATCCATGACTCCCATTTATTTTAAAAAGCTGACTTTTGTCATGGATGATTCAAGATGGACAGTCACATCCCTGTGTGTGTACCTCCTGGCATTCACAGCTTTTATCAGTATTTTTACTGTAATACATAGTCATATTTATCTATCAACATTTACTTAATATATTATTTACCGTTACTGCATAACTATTTTTACAGTCGTCATGCTCCCTGAGGCCTAGCAACTGCCTTAATTTCAACTAGATTACGAGTCTCTGTAGCTTTGGTCTACTAACCTAAACAAATAAACTATTATTCTCTTCTTTTGAGAGAGGTTCTGTTTCTCTGGTCGCTCTCCCCCACCACCCCAATCGGTGTCCTGTGTCCCATGGTGCTTTTTTATTTCAGTAAATGTGCTGTGGGGCGAAAAAGGTTGGGAAACGTTAACCTATCCTAATCTATTGTGATACTCCTACAGGTCTACAGGTTGTAACAGAAATTGTTTTTAATCTCTGAGTGTATCATCCTGCAATATTCCAATCCATCCCATTTCTTCCTATATATTCCTGTACTCTTCTGCATTCACTCTGCCTCCTAACGTTTTGTCAGAAAGTTTCATGAGCATGAAAATATCAAATTAAATTTTCAATCTTTGAGAAATTGAGGCAGCATTGTGGGCTGAACAATAGGGCTTTGCAGGTTGGATCTGGCCTACATATCTTTGACGCCCCTGGTTTACAAGAATATATGAAGATTTGCTTTGTAGAGCACAGGACAAATGAAACAGCCAGACATCTTTCTTGCATTACAGCACCAAACCTTTCCAGCCAGCTTCCTAATCCTCAGCTTTTTCCACAGCAACACACTATTTCTGGCCCAGGCTTTGTACTAAGAATTAGAAGTCAGAAAACTGAGCCCAGCACCTTTCCCTTTATTTCTACCTTTCCTGAGCAACACATATCCCTTCACACCTTGATTCCAGACATGATTGCTATTTCACCATATGTATAGTCCCTCCAGAATTCACTTTTGTGTCTTGCACTGATAGTTCTTGTTCCTCCACTTTGTTGTCTAGGCTGCATACTTCCCTGCCATCCCCTCCCTTCCTCTCCCTTTTTGTAAGTTAAAAAACTCTTACTAGTCATGCTAGCCTTCAGGCCAAGTTAGTAGTTTGGGTATTATTGTGAGAAGCTGGCATCAGTTAGCTTAGAGTAAGGTTTGCGTGACAAAAAATAACCCTTTTTTCTATTACAGGTTTCCAGTGCGCACAGTCAGCAGATGGATGATCTCTTTGACATTCTCATTAAGAGCGGAGGTAAATCAGTTTAAAATAGTATATGATGCACAGATGTGAAGCAATTTAGCAAACTGACAGAAGTTGGGAATAAGTTAAGATGCAACAGTATGACTAAGGAAGGAAGTGCAACTGTAGAGGTTTCTTCTTTGCTGGGGCAGGCAATATTTATAAATCATCTAAGGTATTACTTCTTCAATTTTCCGCTACATCTGTATAGTTCTTTACTCAGTTGAAAATACTGCCTGACTGTAGATATGTCACAAGCTAAAGTTCTGTTCACACTGAAGAAAAAGGGAAATAGTTATTCATCCCCTACACCAAGCTTATAGCTGTTGTTTGCAGTTTGTTAGTTTAAAACTTTTGAATGCTGTCTCAGTAGTAGTTATTCAGGAGCTAGTTTAACCAGACAACTCTTGCTCTATTTATCAATGTTTGCAGCTCATTTCAATGCAAATGAAATAATATTGGTCATCTGTTTATAAATGTAAACTATGGTCTGTGGCCCTGGCCCTGCTCTGCCCAAGTTATATTTGAATCTGTTTTCTGAAACTTCATAGTAAAAGTCTGGAAAACTATTTGCATAATTAAATTTAAAATAAGAATTGAGCTACTTTAACTGGAGTACAGTTTATGAGCTGAGATGTATGATTTTCTGATGTTTCAATGCACAGTGAGTTATAGGGTGTCACAAGCAGGGAAAGAGAGAGAGGAAGATGAAAGGGAAGATGCAGTTGATTTTAGTCCAAGGTGTTTTCAGGACACCCATCACTAGGTGAGTTGTACTAGCGGGTTTCAGCCACTAATAAGTATTCAGAAGTTCCTGCAGCCAGAGTCTTATACAAACATTTTTATATATTTAAGGTCTCTTTACCCTCCTGATGCACAAAACATGTTATCTCCCAAATTCTCTAAAATCTCTGTCCCCTTACAATCATTATCATCCCTGAGGACTAACAACTGCTTTAATTTCAGCTAGATTATGAATAAATTTGGAGAGCTGCTTCAGTCACTCTGCCTGGGTAATTCAGGTATTTAGGTCTCTCAGTTCCCTTTTCTATCAGACTTCAGTAACAGTCTCCAAGAACAGCATGTTATTTCTGCCAACTTAGTAATAAACTGTAAGAAGCAGAAATCTATCATGATTGCTTGAGGCTGTAGAGCTGTTCCAGGTGCCATCAAGGAGAACCTCACCTTTGTTCTTATTGTTCATCATGTCTGTGCCGTGCAGGATGGAAGGGAAAGAGACAGACACATGACAAAGAAAAAACTGCATAAAATAGATAATGTCGTAGTTATTCTCTGTTCCTTCTTGTCATCTGTGTGTTTCTTCCTACATAAGAATATCATTCTTGTAATTCTAGTCTTTAAATCAGGGCTGTCCAAGTACTCAGTTGCTGAGGGCTGCACACTCCTCAGGCCACAATACCAGAAGCTGCAGTAGCAGGAGCCATATCAGGGGGGACTGTGGAGCCCCGGGGCTGCATGTCCCTGTTCCCCGCCCCCCCCCCAACATGGGCACACTACATACCAAGATGCCCCTCCTGCTGCACCATGCCCCACTGCTGCTGCACCACAGGCCCAGGCACTCCTGCCATTTTTTAAACAGATTTTCCTCTTATCGCACCCCCCCCCTCCGCTTCTCTGTGCAGTCAGGTAACCCCCTTCCTTCCCCCTGCAGCACTTCACCCCACCCTCCCACTGTACTTCACATTCCCTGATGCTTCTCTCCCACCCTCCACTTCACTGTGCACCCAAGTGCAGCCTCCCAACTTCATTCTGCACCCCCATTGCGTGACTGCATGCAAGGTGCCTCCCTGCTGCATGGGGAAAAGAAGGGAAGGCCAGAGGGAGGGGTAGTCTGAAGCTCCCAGCTGTTCCTGCAGCTGAAGAAATGGGGCAAGCTAGATGTATGTGCCTGAAACTTCCTCGTTCTTTCAAATGCTTGGTGCATGGAATCCTATTTCTGCTACTGAACCTGGAAGAAGAGCTTTTCTATTCAAAAGACATAATTACCAGGGATCCTAGTTTTCCATTTGCCACAAAAAAACATGGAATCTGTGTTTATCCATGACTTACTGAAACCGTGACAGTGTCTTGCAGCAAGCGGTGCAATTTCTGATGTCTTTTATTTTTTCTGTGTTGTTTGCTTCTCAGCCAATCAGGCCACAGCTTGTTTTCAGAACATCATGGATAAACAAATGTTTGTGTTGTTTAAACAGAGATTCTCCCCTTTTTCCCATGGAAAACTCAGGTCCCTGGTGTTTTACTAGAGGATAGAATTGTATCTCAGATTGTTTCTACACCCCTGGCCAAATTTTTCTGTAAAGTAATGCTGTAAAATTCTGACTCTGTGTTTAGAAGTCAGTAGGTCATTTTAAATGAGAAGAAGCCACTAACATAGTTATCAGGGTACCTTAAATAGAGAGAGTAATGAATTAACCTGTTGTCCAGAATAATTAATTGGCATAATTAATTGGCACAATTAATTAGGTAATTTAATTGATTGATTGACTCTCAAGAGCTGAACAAGAGAGTAAGGAACAGATCATCAGCTTGTCTTCGGATTGATTTTGAAATAGCCCGCTGGATTCTGACACATACTTGAAGTGATGAACATGATTGTAGCTTAAATTCCATTACTATTCTAACCCAATATCACATGGCCAACAGCTGAAAGCAAGGAAAGACATTTTTGAGCTTCACAGGAGAAGCATAACAGATTACAGTGTAAGGGTATGTCTGTACTCCACAGTTTCTCAGTAAGGTAAGTGAGCCCGTGTGGAGTTCAGTATATATCTTAAGTGTCAGCAGTAGCACTTCAGTTTAGGTAGGGCAATCTTGCAATTATTCGGTCAATACTAGAGGAAATAAACAATTGCAAGTTCTGTATGTTACAAAACAGGAAAAATATATTCAGAATAAAGCACTGATAAATATTTTCAACTGTAGGATACAAATATAACATCACATTATGAAAACCTGAACTACTGAAGAAACATAAAATATGTGTATATATTTATTATTTAATGGCTAACATCCTGCGCAGTTTAAACAGAAAAAAATATGAAACAGTCTCCAAGTCGTCATGTATATTAAGGAGGGAGAAATCGAAGTAATTATATTTAAAATTGCATAAACAAATTTTGTAAAGTGGCTACTGGGAAACATTTTATATTGCTGTCAGAAGGAAGAAAGTAGCTACTGCTAATAACTGCTTGTAGGTTATTAGGTGGTTCTTGAGACACATTCTAAAATAAGAGTATTTCTGCTTCTCAAAGCACAATTGCAAGGTTAAGTAAAGAAAATAAAAATTAATTGCACAGTGTAGGAGATCTATAATCAGATCTAGGGAGCAACGAGGAGACAAGTGACTAGACCACGGATGGGCAAAATCCAGCCTGTGGGCCAGATCAGGCCCACAGCAGACTCCATTTCCCAGCAGCCCCTGCCTGTCACTGTGGCCAGTTTCCATGGAGACCCCAGGAGTGGCAGCACTGTGATAGTGCGCAGCCAGGGTTTCCATGGAGACCAACCCCAGCAGCACTGACAGGGTGTGCAGCAGGATGGAGAGTTGCTCTAGTTGCCGAGACAAAGCACAGCGCTGGCAGTGACAGCGTGGTCCAGAGCTGGGGCCGAGCTGTGATCTGCTGCCCACACGCCTTGGGCAAGGGTGTGCAGGCAGGGGATCACGGCTCTGTCCCAGCTCTGGGTCATGCCAGTACCACTGCAAGATTTCAGTCTGGAGCAGCTTCCCTCCCTGACAGCACCACTGGGGCTGGTCTCCATGGAAGCCCCAGCCCCACGCTGCCATGGCACCGCCACTACTGGCATTGGCGAGGCGATGCAACGGGGGTTCACATGGGAGCATGTGCACCTCCTGAGCGTGGCAGTGCACCCCTCACCCCCCACCTGCAGCCAGTCGCCACTCACCAGAATGGAAGAACAGGATCAAGAGGGTCATTCTCACCTGTGAAGTAGTGTGAAGTTTTACACAAGCTTTTGTTCCATGTGATACCTGAAAGCTTGTCTAACTTTATCCCAACCATGTAGTTGGTCCAATAAAAGATACCATCCACAAAAAGTCTTGCCTCTCACATGTTTCCTGCACCATTACAGGTACAAATCACTTTTTCAGGTAATAACGGGCCTTCCCAACGCTACTGGTGATGTTAAGTTCCCTGGGGCTCCTTGACTGAGGAAGAATTGCAACTTTAAATCCTAAAAGTTGAGGATGAGCAACAACAAAAAAAGAAGAAGAAAAAGCATAAGAAAAAGAGGAACTTGGTGGGGGGGTGTACATGTTCATTTCTAGCTGTAGAACTTTTAGAGAAATTGTTCTGGGAATGAAGCAGTACAAGTATTCATCCTACAACTGCCCCCCTTTCCTGCTGTCCCCACTTTCAAGGCCAGGGATCAGTCTGGGGAAGGTGTAGGGCACAGATGCTGCTCCCAGTCCCGCCCATCCGTTTTCCCCCCGCACCCCATGTAAGCGGCTGTGGGCACAGACTTTAACGTGCCAAGTGTAGGGAAGTTTCTCCCTCATGCAGCACATGCACAGGGCTGCACTCATAGCCCCACGTGTGGGATTGCAGGCGCCAGCTCTGAAGCATCACACAGCGTGTAGCTCAGTGAGATGAATGTTGCTGTAGAAAGGAATAGGTTTTACCCTGGCCCCCGGCTCCTAGTAGAGTGCTGTACTGCTCTTAATTCATTTTATCCAATGACTATTAAATGCAAGGGGCCATGGCTTAGCTTCCAGAATACAGCCTGGATAAAGAATGGATAAAACCTAACCTGTGTCAGCACTGTACTGGGAAGTTAGATGGTTACAGCACTGTACTGGGAAGTTAGAGATGCAGTTTCAAAGCCCCTTGGGGTGAAGTCCCCTGGGACCTGAGCCTGTTGCTTCCTTGGAACATGCCCTTAGCTGGTGAGGAATAAAACTAACCTCCCCAGCTTTTCCCCAGACAAATGCTCAGTTATGTGTGTATGCAGCCAGGCTGTGCTGGCCACTTAACCATCTGCGGTTGTAGAGGGAGGGCCAAACAACCAGGTATGCAGCTAGAAAACTGCCATTTATGCTCAGAAAGGGAAACAGAATTCCACACCCATGTGTTTCGTGCTTTCTACTTACAGCAAAAAGACAGTCCCTGCCCAGAGAGCATTTAATTATTGTTTCAAGTGCTGTAAAAAGCATAGCCTCCTTGACTAAAGGCAGTAAAGAAATAAATACTAATATTTGAACACATGGTGATCTTGACTGATTTATTTTAACTTTCCTTTTTGCAGAAATTTCCCTTCCAATAAAGGAGGAACCATCTCCAATTTCCAAAATGAGACCAGTTACAGCTAATATCACCACAATGCCAGTGAATACAGTAGTATCTCGTCCACCACCGCAAGTGCAAATGGCACCTCCTATCTCCTTAGAACTGGCAAACAGTTTAGAAAACCAACTTGAAGCGCTCTTGGATGGAACTTTGCCTCCCGGTAATGAAATTCCTCAGTTAACAAGCAGCAGCGAAGACAGAGAGTCATTTTCTCTGATTGAAGACCTTCAAAGTGATCTGCTCAATCACTCCAGCATGCTTGATCACTCCCAGTCACCCATGGAAACATCTGATCCTCAATTCACTGCTAATAGTTCCTGTTTATCTCTTGACCTTTCTGACACAAATTTAGACAATATGGAGTGGTTAGACATTACCATGCCCAATTCCTCATCAGGGCTCACTCCTCTTGGCTCTGCTGCCCCAAGTATGTTTTCCACTGACTTTCTAGATCCTCAAGACCTACAGTTGCACTGGGATTAAGGTATAAAAGTGCAGCCAGTAAGAATGTGACTTTCAAAGATCTGTTTACAGTGTAGGTTCATTGTTACATCATTCTGATTGCAATTAAAGTAAATTACCACAGAATGATGGGAAGGAGAAATGTTCGAAGAGAAGCCTTCACTAATGTTGAAGTACATGACAATGAATTAGTTAGCGTCTCAGTAATGCAAGTCAGGGGCATTTGAGTGTTATACTATACAGGTCAGAAAAGGGATGGTTGTATTTTTATTAATGAAAAGTACTGCCAAGGTGAAGTATGAAAAATGTATATGTAAGAATTAGCATTAATACCTTTGCCATGCTCAAATTGCATAACATGAGGCCACTGGTTAGAACTGAAACAGAAGAAAAATAGGACAGATTTTATTCTGCTGTATGGACAAAGAGAGCATACATGGGGGGAAGGGAAGGTATCACTGCACTTAATTGTTCCTGTGGACAGCCTGAGCCAAGAGCAAGATGCATTGTGAGGGCAAAGGCAACTAAAAGCACTGGCTGGTTCAGTGAAATTTCACTTGTATCTAGTCCTTTAATTTGTTTGTTTTGTATTTTGGTTTGTTTTGTGACTTTTTAAACTCTTTTCTCACTCTATTTCAATTTTAAATACTGAGGGGAGGACATAACTGCATCCCAAGGGATATTTTAAGTGTAATTGTGAATAATCCACTGTTGAAAAGGCCAGGTATTTTGAGAACACTGAATTTTCCACTCTGGATTTAATAGATGGTTTTAATGTGTATATCAGACAGGTATTTGTATACTTTTTATTGTTGCGGCTTGTACAATTTATTTCTGTGGGGGGAAGGGTAGCAGTAGGCATACCAACCAATGGACTCTAGTATTCTAATAGTAAACATCCATTTTCACTCCCATTGTTTGATAGTATTTGCTAAAGAGATTCATCTATCAAAATATCACAGTGAATCACCTCAGCTCATTATATTGTTTTCAGTCTACTACAGGAGTTTCTGGTAAAGCTTTTTAGGGCTCTGATTTTGCGCACACCTATGCACGAATGATCCAATCAAGTGCAATATGTTTGCAGGATCAGCCCCAGATTGCACAGGATATAATGACATTGTAGACAACTTAACTTCATCTACCAGTACCTAACCCTGGTTGAAACTGTTCAAAAGCAATCCTAAGACAACACTGTGGAAGAGGAGAAAAATAGGAAGGCCTCAAGATATACAAGTAAACAATGCTAAATGAAGATGCAAATTTACCAAGCTAGAATGCACATTATTTGCGTGGCAGGCATGTAGTAAAAGATGAGCAGTCCTTCACTTGCTTATTATTCTTCTTGACTATTTCCATGTTAGCTTCAACTGAGTTAGATTCTACAAAGACTGATGTAAGTGGGAGTTATATATTCTGGAACACTGTATTTTGCTTTCCATACAATCAGTGTAGCTGTACTGGTGCGGCTAGTGTTATTCCCACATAGCCATCAAAAACCATTAGTTCTTTTAAGATTATATAAAAACAATATTTGGGATGAAAATTGGTCTCAGTTTAGAAACAATTTGGGTTTTTTCAGTTTCAGAAATAAAATTTGCCAAGTCATTATTTTCAGGGATGATTTAGTGAAAACCAAGTAGCTATTAACTTTATAATAATAACATAATAACATACCAAAATGAACTTTTAAAATATCATCTTTTAGATATTCAAGTTCCAGAATTCCATATTGTCGAAATATTACAGAATTAGACACTGAGGATATAGTCAATTCTGCTTCTTCAAAATTGTGTTCACAAAGGATTGCATCACACTTTCAGGCCTAAATAACATATGTACATTGGGACCTGTCAGATCAGTGTGATTGGTCTGGTTTCATGACAATTACACCTGTATCTGGAAAAAAAAAAAATTGCAAGCATTTAATGAAAAGTCACAGTTATGAAGTCACACTAAAGTTTACTTTTAAATTAAATGTCCTTTAAAGTCAAAATGTCTTATATTAGGGTTGTCACACAAGAAAAAGGACACTAGTTTGAAGTTAAGAACATTATCCTTATCCTACCTTGTTGTGCATAGGTATTGCCATCGATATCTGTGTAAGCAGTGTTCAAGGGCAATGTTGCATTGAGACAGCCTGCCTTAAGTTCTGATTTTCTTGGCTTTAGTATATATGCACATGAGCACATTTTTAACGTAATGTTCTGTTTTTAAGTATTGATAACTATAGTAGGACTCTTGTGAACATGACTGAACAAATATCCTCATCTTTTACCTTTCCACTTGACTATGCTCTCTTGGGGCTGATCCTGTGAGGTGCTGAATACCCTCAGCTGTTACAGAAGTCAGTGGGAGTTAGAGGCTTTTCACATCTTGCAGGAGAGGTGGGTTCTTGGTCTGGTAGGAGGACCTCTATGAAATGTATATTGTTCTACACTACTGTATGTTAGTGTATTATGTAAAATATTGTACTAAAAATGTGCAGTATAAAAATGTAATTACAGACCAAAGATGATAGTAACAGAATGGCCCCTTTTGTTTGTGCTTTCTGTTTAAATGTGATGGGTTAAAATTCAATTAAAATCAGTTTTCTATTGGAGGAAAAAATTAGCCAGACTAGCACAGAGAGAAATTGTACTGTCATTTTGATGTGCCTGTAAATATAGCTCAAAACTGGCAATATTATGTAGTATCTTGCTACACAAGTATCACTGGCAACATAGTTTACTAACCAACCCATAAGAATCTGAGTGCAGGCGGAAGAAGTACCCAAGCCTCTGAAATCTGTCAGTACCAATACAGAGTTGTTTTTCCCCTAACCTGGTCAATGCACACACACACACATACACACACAAAAGGGATCAGTGTGAAGTTCTAAAAATGCAAGTATTTTAGTGTATGGGGTATGATTATTTTTTGTACGTTTCAGAATTACATGTATTATAAAACCTCATATATAATGGTTTGCTTTAGATCATATGTTCTGAAATGTGCTACAATATTTGCCATATTCATGTATACCTGGTATTGTGAAAAGATTTTCTTGCTTAGATTTTTCTTTTTGTGCATGTTTTACATGATCATTTTTGTAACACAAATAGGATATATACATCTTGAAACTCTAATATAACTGTACAGTTTTGTGACAGCCACAATCAGAATGTCTCATTGTGCAAACAGTTGGAAAAGAATGCACTAGTACTACACTTGCCATGTGCTGGCTGAAGTAGACTAAGAGACATGGCTTAATTGCTGTCAGTGGATAGTAACTTTATAACTAAGGGAAGGGTCTTATCAAAACAAAGACTACCACCTTTTTGTCACTAAGCACAGAAACAGTGTTTCTTCTGCACTTTTTAGTGCCATTCAACATTTGTTGAGGCATGTAAGTTTACATGCATTTTTTCTAGAACACTATTGATGGTTCTTTATATTTGTCATAAATTTAACAGGCTTTTCTGAAGAGTAAAATTTATGGTAGATTTTTTTTCAATCAACCCTAGGACCGAATTCTGCAATCTGAGCTTGCATAAATGTGAGTTTGTGAAATTAGGCTTTAGCATTTAGGAGGAATTTTCTATTCTATGTTGATGTCTTTTTCAAAAGTTATTTGAAACATTGTTGGGTCACCCCTTTGAGTAGCTGTAAGGTAAACAGGTGTACAAAATTCCAAGAGAAAATATCCATATGTTGCTTAGTTAACACATTTAGCCATCTGAAACTTGTAGTTGATAGGCAACATCATAACCCAGAGCAAGCTGTCTGACTTCTCTAAGGGTCATAAAAACAAGTAAAATGCAAATCACAGAATACTTTTAACTGGAAGGGCATTATGTAGTAAAAATGCAGTAAAGCTAGCTGACTGTTGTAAAGAATCATTTTTATTTGGATAGAATCATTGTATTTTTAAACTCTTTAAGCAAATTCTATTACAACTGGAAAGAAAAATTAGTTCTACAGAATTCTGAATAATGAACCCTTAATGTCGAAACACACTGCACTACTCTTAAATCTTTAAATTGCAGTCCAGCAGCCTTTAAACAAAGTATGGTTGCATATTTTCCTGCCATTACTTTAACATATGATGCAAATAAAAAAAAATCTATACAGGAATGTAGAGCATGCAGCTGTTTTATAGATGCTTTTATTCTATTTGTTATGTATTTCTAGTATAGGAATATCATCTGAACTCTTATAAAGTTCTTAAAATAGCTTGACCCGAAAAATTAAGCAAAAGAAAATCCTATCAAATATTTTTTTTAAAACACCTGTCAGTACAATTGGATTCCTGAAGGAAGACGCTGCTTTTATTCTGCAGTGTCTGATTGAATAAAAAAAAACCTTGCATTTGGTATATAAATGCAGCGTTAGAAATCTAGCAAGTGTCATGCTGACTGTGGCTGTGTACTGACATTGATTTCTGCTGGAAGAAATAGCTTTGCAGGCCAGGTCTCCAGCCAGGGAGCTCTCTGGGCCACCCCTGCCCTTAGGGGAGCCCCTAAATTGGCAGTCTGTCCTCCTCCTGCCTAGGAAGAAGGCAGGCTGTCAAGTGGCAGGTGGCTGCTGTTGAAAAGTCACAGACAGTCCCAAGAGGAGGTAAGCCGGAAGAAAGTTTGGAGACTTTCAGTCTCTTGGGAGAAACTCTTCCAAGAGCAATTTAACTCTGGTTGTTCCCAAGTTATTTTTTCTCCAGAAACAGCCATTTTACCTCTTGGGGAAAAAAAGCTTAAATGTCTGCAGAGTTTTGTTTTCTACCAAGATCTAGGCAATTCTCCCAGTAGAAACTGAACGTCTGTATGCAGTTTCAGAGAAAAACAGGAAATCAGTGTACCTTGACTCTAGAGCTATAATGTCCTTTTGGGGGGGGTAAAGAATTCTGCTTAGATATTCAAAAGATACATAGTCTCAATAAGTTCTACTAATACAATGTTTTATTTAATAGGAACCAAAGGATTGCCATTTTTATTGCCAAAGGAGGCACTTTGTATTTTGAAGCATAGAAAATTCAGTCCCAAAAAGTATTATCTGTTTAAAATTATCTTTTTTTTTAATTAAGGATGTATATATTTTGAAGTTGATTTTGATGTATAACAGTACACATTTGTTTTGCTGTTTGAGCAACTGTTTTAGGTAATAAACACAGGCTTCTTTTCAGATAGCTGTTTCTTCACTGTACTGCTTGCAGTAAAAATAATGCTTACAGTCATCGGTGTTTCTCTTCTTATTTTCATGGTCACAATTATGTCTTAGCATCTCACTTGATGAAAAAAAGAAGATGGATACCTGTCTGTACAGCTCTCTTCATTTACATGCTACATCAATAAAAAAGTATGGCAATCAGGGCATCCATTCATGTATTGCCTTTCTATAAGAAACCATGATGCCTTTGTATTTGCTGTTTGCACCCCTGAAATCAATTCCATGTTTGAATGCCATATGTTTTGCACATTGTACTGTATATATGTAATGCATACTGTATTTTTATATGTGTAGTACATTTATCAAAATTTTTGTACATAGTGGCAATATTGTAGCTACTGAGGAAATGTTTGATATCTCAGTATTTTGCTATTTGTGTCTCAAATAAAAAAATGATAAACTGCATACATTTATTGTGTTCAACTAAAACTGTGAGAGAAATATCAGAAAAAGCCACAAAGAACTTAATATGACATTGGTAATATTCAACAAGATAACCACAGTCCTGATTTGTGTACTGTTTTTTTTTATTCATCCCCTCAATCTCAAGAGGAATGAGAATAAAAGTCCATGACACAGATCCCCTGCAAAGACAAGTGTCATGTTACATTTGAGAAGATACTTAGTGTATGTGCTTCATTTACCTGAAACTACAGGGGGGTGGGAAATTGTCAGCATCTGCAGTGAATGACAAGAAAGTAAAGGTAAACTAAAATTGCCTGCAAAAACTAAAGGTGAAAACATACATGTCAAAGGTCAACTATAAGAGTAAAAGTCTTACCACTTGGAAAGTAAATACACAAAGCATCCTGTACATGCAGGAATCTTTCTTCATGTGTATAGTCTAAGTAGGAAGGCGTACTCTTCTCCTCCTAGGGCTTTTGGAGATGAGTAAAAGAGGATGTACTGCTTTAGGCCATAAACCATAATATGCTGTAGTAGAGACTGATTTGTCAAATTCAGTTTTCTTATATATGATACATCAACAGGAAAAGATAATAGATTGCCTTAAAGAACACAGCCAAATTGCCAGATTATCTCATATAACCAATGGAATTTATAAATACAGTGTACAAACATCCTAGCGTTTAGTCGGTGTTTAAAAAAAAAGTAATACTGCCTTATTGAACATGATTTTACAAAGTGAGGACACACTAGCTTCACACTCGATTCCTAAATAATTATTCTTTACTTTTAGAAAAATCCAGTTACTCTGGACCAGTACCCCTACTATTTACAAACAAATTTTACGGTGGAGAAAACACATTAAATTCCTTCCTGTTTTATGCTGTTAATTTCTAGGAGTTTAAAATTCTGATCTGGGCTTAACAAACTTCATAGCCAGCCTCTCTGAGAAGCTCTCAGCAGGTGTCCTCAGGTGGAACAAAACAGTCTGTGTTCCATACTCACAGTGACCATTTCTTCAAGACTAGTAATC